CTCTCTCTCTCTCTCTCTCAGAGGAGCCTTTAGAATTAGAACTCTACATATCACCATATATTCAAGAAGAAAAAAAAAATCAAGAAAAATGTCAGAAAACAGAGATGAGGATGATGAAGAATTCTCTTTTTTCCCTCCTCTGCCTCCTGCTCCTCCTGCTGGAACTTCCATGGGGACTGCTACGGAAGGATGGAAAAGGATCAACGAAAAGTAAAAACAAGTCTCCAAACAAGTAAGTGCATCGTTTTTAAATCCGACAGAGACTGCTACTGAAACGGAGGGGTCTGGCAAGAAGAAGACTGTGAAGCCTTCCCGAGAAGGAAATGCTGATCTTCTGCCCTTCACGACACTGACTGTTCGTGATGATGATCATGTCATCTCAAAATCAAAACCTGGGTAACTACTTGTTTTTCACCAAGATACTCATCAGTTTTCTTTCTTGAATTTCTTGAATCTCTTCTCTGTATCTATATACCAATGCATGCTTATATGGGCACTTATCCAAAATAGACTGATAAATTTACTCACTTGCAATGGACAAGAACATACAAAATTCAAAGAATATTGAGGGTTTTTGCTTTTTTTCCCTTCGAATTCTTCCATTTCCTCTGCCACCAAAACAGAGACCTGGGGTTGTCATCTTTGCAATATTTGTCTTGCTTTCTTTTACACACCCGTTGGAATGACAACGATTTTAATCACAAATTAATTTCTTGAAGGAGCATGATCTAGAAGAACAGAACTTGGAATCTTATAATTAGATGAAAGATTATACATTTTCTTTTTCTCAATAACCAAACAGAGTTAACTAGGACTTTCATTTTCTTCCCCTTTGCAGAAGAGGCTCATGCTCATTTAAGAGGGTCATCCAGGGGCTTCAAGACAGAGCTTCTATCAATATAAAAGAGGCATACCCATTGCCTGAAATACCTAGAGTTGGTGAATACCAGAGGTCAGTGCATTATCTGTTTCGAATGGAGTTAAATTGGAGCGACGTTGTAAGCGGCAGACTCTCTATTCCTTTCCAAACAGCAGAATTCCATTTCCCTCCCACGAATTGTGTATCAAATTACGAGCACCAGATTGTAATTACCGATGCTCATAACGACGTTTGGTACATGACACTCGCCTACAATGCTCTGCAAATTTCAGAATTCAAGTTCACAATCACAAATGGGTGGCAGGGGTTTGTTGATTGGCACGGTTTGAAAGCTATGGATTTGATTCGCTTCTACAAACCATTCCCAAGATTACATACCAAGCATTATCTGATTGATTATGTCAAAGCAGAAGAAAATGTTATCTCAGAATCAAAATCTGGGTAACTAGTTCTTCACCAAAAACACGAGTCCTTGAGGGCTTTCTTTCTTGAATTTCTTGAATCAAAACTATTTGTTTTCCGTTCCAATTCTTCCCTTTTCTGAACAAGCAAAGAGAATAGCTAGGATTTTTTTGGGTCTTGTATTCTTTTATTGTAAACTCGGATTTACTGTAACAGTTTCAATATTCAATTGATTGCATATATATATAAAATAATAAAAAAATAGAGTTAGGATATGATATGACTTGATGTATTTAGTGTCAATTGTCATGTTCAATTGACTTCCATTTTCTTAACCTCCACAGAGTTGGTGAATTCGATAGGGATAGGCGTGTTTTTCTCTTTGAGGTGCAGTTAACTCTGAGCGATGTTCAACAAGGCAGGCTCATCATTCCCGAGCAAAGAGCAGCAAACCATTTCCCTCCCATACAAACTCATCTACCAGATTATAATTACGAGTACCCAATTGAAATTTTTGAAACTTCAAGCAACAATTGCTACTACATGACACTCCTCTACAACAGTTTTCACAGTGCCTTCATCATCACAAGAGGGTGGCACTGTTTTGTCGTTAGCCACAGTTTGGAAGCCATGGATGTGATTTGGTTCTACAAATGTTTCTCGCAATTTTACAACAAGCATTTCCTGGTTCAAGTTGTCAAGGGAGGGGAGGAACCTGGGACAGACAACGACCCTCCTGAATTTAAGCCTGAAAATTTCCTGTTTCAGCTGGAATTGACAATCTTTCCAGATTCTAGCTACAACAGCTTCGAGTGGCTCGTCCTTCCCAAGGAAGAAGTGAGAAATCATTTCCCTGCAATTGAGATCCCTCATGGAAGAAGGCTGAAACTTACTGACACTAGAAACAAGGATTGGTCGATGTCAATCTTTTTCGCTGAAGATCTTGATGCCTACATAATTGCAGGTGAGTGGGAAGGGTTTGCAAATAAGCACAGGTTGGAAACCATGGATGAGATTAGGTTCTATAAACCGGTCCTGCCTTTACATGAGGGGCACTTCCTTATTGAATGTGTGAAAGGAGAGGAGGCTGGTGGTGGGACTAGTAGCAAGAATGATCAATTGGGAGGTGCAAAGAAAGATGGGAATAGGGGTGATCGAGCGAATAGAGGCGGCAGAAGTCATGGTGGTGGTCGTGGAGGAGCAAGTCGTAGTGGTAGTAGCCCCGGGAAGGGGAAGACAATTTTCTGTTGGACATGGAAAAACCAGCGTGGGGGGCGGGAAAGAGGTGGTCATGGCCATGGAGGAGTTCCTGCAATTGATAGACAATGCTTGGGAGGAAATTGGTATTAATTCCCAATTACTAAACTCTGCTCTTGATGTCTGTTATCTGGGATTGTGATTTTCATAATCACATTGGTGAAGTGCAAAGTAGATAGTGATTTTTGGTACATACATTGGTGAAGTTTCTGTATAAACACTGTTTAATTTTGCTTAATTTTCAGGTAGTCTATGTTCAGGATAAGGAAAAATGTCATTTTTGTTTTAACCAGGACCCAACAGGCCTTTTACTTCTAACCAGCAAGTGTCAGCATTAGTGATGATAAATACCCTTCTGTTCTTTTTTTCAGAAAAATGCTCAATCTTCATGGTGGTTGTTACTACAAAATTATGAGATGTACAAGCTCTAATCAAACTTGCCTTATAGAATGGGACCAACATTCTGTTTTTTTGTTTCTTGTTTATTTTTTGGGTCATGGACTAATTTGTTGTTGAAATGTAATATAACAATAATTCTAATTGCTCAAAAAACACTCGAAATTTTACCAATATATAGGAGTAATAATATAAATATAAAATGTATACATAATAATGTGTTGAATTAGAAAAGTCCTTCAATACTGGTAATGTATCATTTTGACATGAGAAACGTGAGACATTTATAATTTAAATCTCACAATTCGTCCATAATTACATGACAAGAGAGTTGGGTCTATACGGTTAAATTTCAAACAAATCAAAAGTTAATAATATGTAGTTGCAAAGTCAGTGCGGGACTCACACACCCTTGTAAGAGGGTATTCATTTATTTATTTTTGTAAAAAAATTAACTATATCTTTATCCAATTAGGAAACACTTTTTTAAGGTTTCAAATATTTTTGTTATTACATGTAATGCAGCAACCGAACTAAGCCGAGCTGAGCTTTCTGAGCTCGAGCCCAACTCGCTTGCTTATGGATCTTATTTATCCACCTCGAGTTCGGCTCATTAATATTAGTCGAGCTTGAACTCAGCTCGAAGATCAATAATTAATTTTTTATTATTAAAGATTATATTATTTAATAAAAAATTTAAATATAAATAATATTTTTATACTATTATTTATACATATTTTATATTATTTAATAATTTAAATAAAGATAAATAAACCTAAAAGCTCGAGGTTGTTTATTTACTTAACGAGTCGAGTCGAGCTCACGAACAACTCGGTTCGTTTATAATCCTAATTACATGTGTATATTGTACTTTGATATCACACAAGAAAAAGATGAATGATACCTAATGTTTTGAGATATTGGTGTTTGATAGAGATTATTTTAAACTAAAAGTTAATAATTAGAAAATATAACCTAAAAGCACTCATCCAGCTTGTAAAAAATCAATTTTTTTTCAACTTATTTAAATTATTTTTAGCTAATAAACTATAAACAAAAACTGCACCAAACAATCTGATACAAACTCTCACATTAAAATAACTTATAAGTTGCCTGTACAATCCACATCACACACCCCCAATAAGAAGTAGGAGGGAAAAGGTGGAGGCAATGGAAAGCGATGATCTAGGGAGAGGTAGTGGATAATGGGTTTGGACCTGGTGGAGGAGAGGTAGTGGATAAGGGTAGAGAGAGGCTCCAAGGTGGTAGAGAAGGATTGGGAGGAGTGAGGGGTTGTGGCAGAGAGGCAGTGACGGTGGTTGGTCAGTGGAAATGGTGGTATGGGGCTGTAACGAAAAATAGAATTTTTATTTTTATTTTTTGTTAACAACATGAAAATATATATATTTTTAAAAAAAAATTAAAATGGGGATGTAATGTAAGGAGTAATTTTGTTCTATTTATTTATTTTCAATTATGTAAATAGAAGCTACCAAAAACAAAATTGCAGAAAGACCCTTTCCGCATGGAAGATCTCCCCTGTGTCAAAAGACGAAACGCAGCGGTGGAATCATAGAAGAACAAAATACAGCACTGTCAATGGAAGAAGAAGAAGAAGAAGAAAAAGAAGACTGTTTCACCCTCGGTTACTTCTAATCTTCCTATTTTTCAGTTCAAATGCCAAAATTTGGAATTTCACCCATTTTTTGTTAGTTTAATTTTTGGGTTTAAATTAAAACTTAGAAAATTTAGGGGTTTGTTTTGGATTGTACAGATAATTTGTTTAGCTTTCAGTATAATATGCTGTCTATTTACAGGATTGAATTTTGCTGCATCTGCAACTTTGTTATTTTATTGTTATTATTAAAAATATAAAAAACAAAAAATAAAATAAAAATAGACTTCGGACTCTGCAGATTGTCTTTGGAATGACTTTCGAGAACCTTTTTTGGTGTTTCTGTTACCTGTTTGTAACGGGTTCTGGTTCTTTTGGAAGGAAGCATTACCCATTACCACCGACTATAAAACAACCAAGTCTCTCTCTCTCTCTCTCTCTCTCTCTCTCTCTATTCAAGAAACAATCCAAAAAAAAAAAAAAAGAAAAGAAAATGTCTGAAAGCAGGGACAATGATGATAAAGAAGGGAAAAGGAAGAAGAAGTCGGATGTTCAGCAAGAAGAACAAGTCTCCAAAGGAGGAAGTGCATCATCTTCAACTCCATTGATGGAGACTGCAACTCAAACAGAGGGCTCCGGAGAAGGAAATGTTCATCTTCCCTTCCACAAACTCACTACTCACTATGATCATGATGATGTTATCTCACAATCAAAATCTGGGTAACTACTGTTCTTCACTATGAAACTAATCAGTCTTATGATTTTCTTTCTTGAATTTCTTGAATCTCTTTTCTGTCTCTGTATACCAATGCATCCCTATATACCCACATATCCAAGATATCCTGATAAAATTCCAAGAATATTGTGGGTTTTTGTTTTTTGTTTTTTTTTTTTCCAGTTACAATTCTTTGCTTTTCTCGGCCACCAAACAGAGACCTGGGGTTGTCATCTTTGTGATCTTTCTATTACTTTCTTTTACACTTATTGGAATGATAAAGATCAATAATAAATTATTTATTTTTTTTGAACGAGCAAGATCTACGAGAACAAAACTTGGAATTGTGTGAAATTAGATGAAAGACCATACATCTTTTTTGTTTCTCCTTTTGTTTTTCACAACAACCAAACAGAGTAACTAGGATTTTCATTTTCTTCCCCTTTGCAGAGCTGCTATCAACCGAAGAGATGATTTCTCATTGTCTAACATAGCCAGACTTGGTGAATTCAAGAGGATGGGACATTTTCTGTTTGAGTTGCAGTTAACTTGCAGCGACATTGAATGTGGCAAGCTAACCATTCCTGTCAAAACGGCATCATCCCATTTTCCTTCAACAACTCTGACATCAAATTTTGAGTACCCGATTGTAATTTCCGACACTCAAAATGACATTTGGTACATGAAACTCACCTATTACAAAGATCTGCAAGAACATGCCTCCAAGTTTGCATGTACCTTCAAATTCATGATTACAAGTGGATGGCAGGGGTTCGTTGATTGGCACGGTTTGAAAGCTATGGATGTGATTCACTTCTACAGACCATTCCCAAGATTACACATGAAGCATTACCTGATTGATTATGTCAAAGCCGAAGGAAATATTGTTTCACCCTCTAAGAATTCGTGTATGAAACAAGTCGGTGTTGAGGCTTGTGATGAGGTGGATTTCTATAGGAGAATTTTTCTCTTTGATGTGCAGTTAACTCCTAGTGATGTTGAACACGGCAGGCTCTTCGTTCCTGTTGAAAGAGCAGAAAAGCATTTCCCTCCTGTACTGACTCATGAACCATATTATGAGCACCAGATTGAAATTTCCGACACTCAAAACCACAATTGGCACATGAGCCTGATCTACAATAGCTTGGAAGGTGCCTTTGTTATCACAAGAGGGTGGCACAGGTTTGTTGTTAGGCACAATTTGGAAGCCATGGATGTGATTAGTTTCTACAAACATCCCTCACGCTTACACAACAGACATTTCCTGATTCAAAACGTCAAAGCAGGGGAACTTGAGACAGAAAACCCTCCTGAATTCATGCCTGAAAATTTTCTGTTTGAGGTGCAATTTGTTGAATTGGCTACAGATTCTGGAGGTCACCCCATGTGAAAGGGGTGATCCTCATGTCAACAATGGAAGGCCACCAACCTCATGTCAACAATGGAAGGCCACCAACCATGTCAAAAGTCAAAGAATGAGGGCTCTCCCACCTACTCCTTTGTGTATAAATAGAGACGGGAGGGAGAGGATATAGATATCAGATGTGGAGCTGAGAGGTGTGAGTTGAGAGCAAGGAGAGAGAGAATTACAGAGAGTGTTGTAATTCACCATTTTGTTCAATATAGTGAATCCGCTGCCCGTGGACGTAGGCGACTTGCCGAACCACGTTAAAACTTGTGTGTTATTGCTTGTTTGAGTTCCCTGGTGTGCCCCCGATCCTCAACAAAATTGACCTCTAGCTACGTCAGTCACAACTGGCTCAAACTTCCCAAGGAAGAAGTAAGAAATCATTTCCCTGCAATTGTGGTCCCTGATGGAACGCGTAAGTTGGAGAGACTGAACTTTACGGATGCTCAGAACAAGGAATGGAGAATGAGAATTGCGATCTCTGAAGAAATTGATGCCTACATGATTATAGATGGGTGGGAAGGGTTTGTGAATAAGCATATGTTGGAAGCCATGGATGTGATTAGGTTCTACAAACCAGTCCAGCCTTTACACAGGAGGCACTTCCTTATTAAATGTGTGAAAAGAGACGATGCTGCTGCTGGAACTACTAGTCAGACTGATGATCAATTGGGCGGTGCAAGGAAAGATGGCAGTGGAGGTGATAGTGCAAAAGGAGGTGACAAAAAACAAGGCGGTCGTGGAGGGCAGAGTCATGATGGTAGCAGCCGCCGCAAGGGGAAGGCAGTTTGCTGCTGGATGTGGAAAAAACAGTGCGGGGGGCGGGAAAGAGCAGTCATGGCCTTCGAAGAAATCTTGCAACTGACCGACAGTGAGTGGGAGGAAATGACAATAGCTCCCAATTAGTAAACTCTTGATGTCTCTGTCATCTGGGATTGTGATTTTCATAATCACATTGGTGAAGTTCATAGCAAACAATGATTTTACGTACATACATTGATTTGGTTCAAAGTAATCTGTGTTTTTTCATACATACATTGGTGAAGTTCCTGTAAACACATGCATATTGAGATTTGTGATTTTCATATGTCCCTTGGTGAAGTTGAAAGTAACAGTGCTTTTTCTACTGTCTACATGATGGATTATTTGTTTAGTCTAAAATGGATATTAGTACACTCATGGTTCATAATTCAATGAACTCAGAAATGCATCAATGGTATCTGTGCCCTTTTCTTCTTTATTTTTTTGTCATGTAACAAGCAAAGCTGGTCAAAATTTATAAAAATTCTGGAAAATCATATACATACTGTTTGGAACTTAGAACTGGGTATATGGGAAAAGAAAGTGAGAAGGAATGAAAATCCTTTACCTTATTTGTTTTCCTTCCTGCTTCAATTTACATTGTATTGAATTTTTTTTATTTTTTTTATTTTTAAGAAATGATGTGAAATCATGAAAACAAGTCCATTAAAACACTTTTGGAAAAATTTCTCACATACTCTGTCATAAATTCTTTACATTATTATTTTTCATGATCACCACTGTATTACTGTATAATGAAGACAGCTAAATAGTCGCAAAGAAAAATTATAAAGCGAATGTTTTAATAAAGTACTAGTAGTGCGTGTGCACCTGTGTACTGTTAAAACTGCAAGAAGTTATAACTTTTAATCTACACCAACTCAATTGTAGGTTTTACGTATATTTGAAATTTGTAGATCAAATTTGTTCTAAATGTGTGCCACATCTAAGATGACTATGATCCACACATCTTAAATTCCAAATTTTTTTTTTAAAATAAACAATTTCTGAGTACAAAACACAATTATTTTTGCAACAGATAAAACGAAGTTAACTTGCTTTCCTTTCCCTAGTCTCACTTTTATAGCTTTGCACTCATTACTGGCAACCATATATATACACATATTCTGCGCCTTTAGAGCTACTGATCCATACTCAAGAAAGAAGAATCAAGAAGAATGTCTCAAAGCAGAGACACCAGCATTCCTTTCAACATAACCCTGGAACATGTCCTGCCTCTGCCTCTGCCTCTGCCTCCTCGTGCTTATCTTGCTAGAACTTCCATGAAGACTGCTACTGATAAAGAAGGGAAAAGGAGCAAGAAAGAACAAGTGGAAGAAGAAGAAGAGAAAGCAAAACAAGTCTCCAAAGAAGAAAATGCCTCGTCTTCAACTCCATTGTTGGAGGAGACTTCTACTGAAACAGAGGAAACTGCTACTGAAACTTCTATCAAGATTGCTACTGATAAAGAAGGGAAAAGGATCGAGAAAGAACAAGAAGAAGAGAAAGGAAAAAAAGTCTCCAAAGAAGAAAATGCTTCTTCTTCAACTCCATTGGAGGAGACTGCTACTGAAACAGAGGGATCTGACAAAGGAAATGTTGATCTTCTACACTTAAACAAACTGACTACTCACGATGATGATGATGTTATCCCACAATCGAAACCTGGGTAACTATTTGTTCTTCCCCAAGAAACTGATTAGTCTTAAGAGCTTTCTTTATTGAATTTCTTGAATCTTTTATGTCTGTATACGAATGCATGTTTATATACACACATATGAAAAAATTGCTTGCATGCAAATTCCATTGAAGAATAACAAATTTGTTTCAGTTAAATATACTGTGAGATTTTTCATTCCAATTCCTTCCCTTTTCTCGGCTACCAAAGAGAGACCTGGGGTTTTCACCTCTGTGATCTTTCTTTTACTCTCTTTTGCACTCATTCAATGATAAAGAGTCGCTAACAAATTAATTTGTTGAAGTAAGTCCTGGTGTTTTTTGTTCCATATAGCCTTTTTTATTCTTTCTTTTTCTCAAAAAGCAAACAGAGTAACAATCAGGATGATAAAGAGTTAATAATTGATTGGGCAGTTGGACTTGGGGTTTACAAGACATGAGGTGAATATATTACAATACAATAACTCTAGGATCACAAAAATCAGTCATAGAAGATAAGATTTTTTAGAACTAGGTCTCACCAACAAATTCTGTAAAGAATGTTGTCTATTTATAAATATTTTGTGTTCCTTTCTGTGTTCGGTTTCTGTGTTCTTAGCATAACTCATTCCAATATTCAATTATACAGAGTAACTAGGGATTTTCATCTTTGTGAAGTTCTGTTCTATCATTTTTGCAACTATCAGGATGAAAATTACTACTAGATCTGGTGAAAATTCTAGTTTCCAATTGACTGTAACAAGATAACTCATACTGGATTGACTTCATTGCTTTTGTTCTTCCCCATTGCAGTGACTCATCTGACAGAGCTGCTATCAACGAAGAAGTCTGTGGATTCGACAGGGAAATTTTTCTCTTCGAGGTTCAGTTAACACGCAGCGATATTGAACACGAAAGGCTTTCCATTCCTGCGGGTGGAGCATTAAAGTATTTCCCTCCTATGGAGACTGTTAAACCAAATTATGAGCAGCAGATAGAAATTTACGACAATGAGAAAGAAGATTGGAAAATGACACTCACTTACAATCACCTGGAGCAGGCCTTTGTGATCACAAGCGGGTGGCAAGGGTTTGTTGATTGGCATGAATTGAAACCTATGGATGCAATTCGCTTCTACAGAACTTTCTCCCATTTGCAGAATCCGCATTTCCTGATTGAATTTGTCATAGGAGAGGAATCCAAGACCAACTACCTTATTCATGAATTCAAGCAGAAAAATTTTCTGTTTGAGCTGCAATTGAGCCCTAGTGACATCGGAGATGGCGTGCTCATCGTTCCTGAGGAAGAAGTGAGAAATCATTTCCATGAAATTAATATCCCTGCCGGAACTAATGAGGTTGAGAGAATGACCTTTACTGATACTCAAAACGTGCATTGGTGCATGGAAATCCTTTTCGATGGTGCCTACATGCTTGCTGATGGGTGGGACGGGTTTGTCAAAGAGCACAAGTTGGAGGCCATGGATATGATTAGGTTCTACAAACCAGTCCGGCCTTTACATGAGAAGCACTTCCTTATTGAATGTGTGAAAAGAGAGCAGGCTGCTTGTGGGACTAACCAGATTTGGTTGGGTGGTGCAAAACATGATTGGGAGGAAACGGCTATATCTCCCAACTAGTGAACTCTTGATGATTTCATCTGGGATTTTGATATTCAAAACAAGATTGGTGAAATTTGAAGTAAACAGTGTGAAGTTTCTGTACGCACATGGATATTGAGATTTGTGATTTTTCATACATACATCGGTTAAATTCAAAATAAACAGTGAATTTTATACTGAGTCTACATGGTGTGGATTATTTGTTGTCTAAAATGTATTCTCTGTTTGTTTTGATTTTTGAACTAGCGTTAAAATGGATTCTGAGACAGTAATATATACCTTGTGCAGAACTTTGATGTGAGCAAGTTGAAATTAGGATATAAGTGGATGTGCTGAACTCAGATATGCATCAATGGTAGTTATGCCCTTTTCTTCTGTATTTATTTATTTATTTATTTTGGTCCTGTAAAAAAAAAAAAAAAAAAAAAAAAAAAAAAAAAACTGGTCAAAAGATATGAAAATTATGTAAACTCATACATACTGTTTGGGACTTATAATGATTGGTATGGGAAATGAAAGTGAGAAGGAAACGAAAATCCTTTCCTTCTTTGTTTGTGTATTGATATTTTCTTTTTTGGGTAAATTACAAATACACCCTCTGAGGTTTGTTTAAAATACGAATTGTTCCCTATAGTTTCGAAAATTAAAAATATCTCCCTGTCAGAATTTTTTATTTAACAAAATTAATTGAAAAAATAAAATTTCTAACTGTTCACCCATACAATAATAAAATTATCTGAATTATTAATTGAAATAAAATTTTAACATTACTAAAAATTGTTAATTAACTTAATAATTTATTAATAAAAAGACTTATTTGTTATGAAATTAGAAACTTTAGGGAGCATAATGTAATATCTAAAACCATAGGAGATAATTTATAATTTAAGTAAATCTCAGGGTATGTAATTTACCCTCTTTTTTTTTAAGAAATGATGTGAAATCATGAAAACAAGTCATTAAAAAAAAATTTGGAATGATAAAAAAAAAATGGAAACAAAAAAGCTTACATATGATATATAATTTACATCGTATTTGTCATGATAACCAAATAAGAATTAACAATTTCCTTTGCATATTTATTTTCCCTTTTCCTTAACAAATTCATAATCACCACTATATTAATATTACTGTGCAATGAAGACAACTATAATAGTTGCACAGAAAAATTTCAAAGTCCATATGTTAATAAATATATTGATGTGTAGTTCATAGAATTCAAGCAAGTAATTGGAACAATAGAAGAAATATTTAAGTGGAGGCCAGGGTGAGACAGAATTCCCATTCAAGAAATGCTATGCACTATAATTTTTGAAAAATTTAGAAATTCCTTAAATATTGATTTGTGATTATTTATCAATTTTAATCAGTAAATAGCAATATCAGTCAAACAATCAAAGACAAATCAACACAACGATTTTACGTGGAAAATCACAATTGGAGCGCCTCCAATTGTGATAAAAAAAACCACGGGCAAAAGTCACAAAACAATCTACTAAAAAGACAAAAGAAAATTACACAGGTATACTCTCAATTACCTAACAAATCCACGCCCGAATTGAACCAACCCCTAATTGCCTCTTCCAACCCTGTCTTCACCTCGGAATTGTCTTACCCAATGTTGAATCCACAACGCCGATGTCGAATCACGACGATAAACCACTCCAAAATCCACTAAAGTTTCAGGCTCGAATTCTCCAGAATCTACCGAAGAACAACTCTTTCTTTTATGTAGAATAAACAAACAATCATTTGATGTATACTTCTTAAACCATGAGTTAAATACTTAATTAAACATCAAAGAAAACTAGCAAAATAGCCCCAGATATAGACCCTAATATCCAAGAAGAATATCTGGAAGCGTAACCCTAGATTTGACTGAAACACATATTTATAGCAATCTGTTCCGTGATCTCCGCTCGAGTACCGGAATGGCTGCTCGAGCGGACCGACGCTCGAGCGTAGGAAATTCCCCTCAAGCGGGAAAAAATATCTCCCAATATTTTTGCAGGCGATCAAACTTCTGAAACCAAGGATTCTCCGCTCGAGCAGGGGAATGTCCACTCGAGCGAACAGGCAATTTTGAATGCATTTTTGCATTTTGCTTCAGGGGCGCTGCCCCTCAACCCTGCCGTGGCGCTGTCCCTGGACCCCAGCAAGCTGACCGGACAGCTCAATCCCCGTCATAGTCAGCGAAGTGGCAATCATGAAAGAATTAGCACCACAAACTTCTCTGCAAGGCATAATTCAAGTTGGATTCGCAACTAAAAACTCACAGCCTGACTGAAATAAAAGTGCAAAAATCAATACAACTGGGAGTTTTATCAAACGGGATTGCCAAGAATAAAAACCTAACAATTTTTATTCATAAATTATTATTATCTTTTAAATTTGAAAATTGTAGATCAAATTTATCTTATATGTAAAAAGTCACGTGTAAAATGAATCTCATCCACACATCTTAAATTGCAAATGTTTTTTTAAAATAAATAATTTTTCTCTGAACACAAATAATATTTCTTACAGAAAAAACGAACTTAACTGCCGTTTCTTTCCCTTTTTTTCCCTAGTCTCACTTTTTAAAGCTACAAATAACAAGAAGCCTCTCTCTCTCCCTCTCTCTCTCTCTCTCTCATTTAGAACTACTAATCACCATATTCAAGAAAGAAGAATCAAGAAGAATGTCTCAAAGAAGAGACACAGATAAAGTTCTCGATGATGAAGAAGAAGAATGGGAAAAGATGGAGGACGAGGAGGAGGTGGAGGTGGAGGACTTAATTCCTAGAGCCAGAAGATCCATTCCTTTCGACATAAAACCAGACCATTTCTCTTCTCTTCCTCCACTGCGCCCTCCGACGTCTACTCGTCCTGCTGCAACTACTTCCATGGAGACTGCTACTGATAAACAAGGGAAAAAGATCAACGAAGAAGAAGAAGAAGAGGAAGAAGAAGAGAAAGCAAAACAAGTCTCCAAAGAAGGAAATTCATCTTCTTCAAGTTCGACTCCATTGGAGGAGACTTCTACAGAAACAGAGGTGTCTGGCAAGAAGACTGCTACTGAAACAGAGGGGTTTGGCAAGACGACCGTGAAGCCTTTCGGCAAAGGAAGTGTAGTTGATCTACCCTTCAAGAAACTGACTATTCGTGATGATGTTGATATTATCTCAGAATCAAAACCTGGGTAACTACTTGTTCTTCATGGAGATACTGATCAGTCTAAGGGTTTTGGTTCTTGAATTTCTTGAATCTCTTCTCTGTCTCTGTACCTACATACCAATGCATGTTTATATACGCACATATGAAACATTTACTGCTAATTTTTGCTTGCATACAAAGAAGAATAACGAAAATTAACTAATGAATATTGTGGGTTTTTTCGTTCCAATTCCTTCCCCTTTTCTTGGCAACCAAACAGAGACCTGGGGTTTTCACCTTTGTGATCTTTGTTTTGCCATCTTTTACACCCATTTCAATGATAATGATTTACATATAAATAAATTTGTTGGTTATCACATAAGAAAATTGTGGGGTTTTTTTTAGTAGTAGATATATATATATATATATGTGTGTGTGTGTGTATACACAGGTACTTTCGAAATGTGCTACACTTTTGTTTGCCTCTCAAGAAGATGAACAAAACATGGAATCGTATCATTAGATGAAAGATTATATATCTTTTCTATTCTTTCTTTTTCTCAACAACCAAACAGAGTAACAATCATGATGAAGAAGACTTAATCATTAATTGGGTAGTTGAACTTGGAGTTAAACTATCTCGTAATACAGAATTGACTTCATTGCTTTTGTTCTTCCCCATTGCAGAGAATCATCCGAGAGGGAAATTTTTCTCTTCGAGGTTGAGTTAACTCGCAGCGATATTGAAGGCGGAAGACTCTCCATTCCTACAGCTAGAGCAATACTACATTTCCCACCTATGGCGACCGTTAGGCCAAATTATGAGCAGGAGATAATAATTTCAGACACTGACACTGACGGTGAAGATTGGAAAATGCTACTCACCCACAATCGCATTGAACACACCCTCGAGATCACAAGAGGGTGGCTGGGGTTTGTTGATTGGCACAACTTGCGAGCTACCGATGTGGTACGCTTCTACAGGCCGCCTTTCCCGCGTTTGCACAACAGGCATTTCCTGATAAAATTTGTCAAAAATGATGAACCTGAGATCGAACTCATTCACGAATTCAAGCAGGAAAATTTCTTGTTTCAGTTGCAATTGACCTCTAGAGACATCGGAAATGGCGTGCTCTTCGTTCCCGAGCGAGAAGTGAGAAATCATTTCCCTGCAGTTAATATCCCTGCTGGAACTAGTAAGATTGAGAGACTGACATTTACTGATACTCAAAACACGGATTGGGGCATGAAAATCCATTTCGATGGGGTCTTCATGATTACTCATGGGTGGGACGAGTTTGTCAACGAGCACCATTTGGAAGCCATGGACACGATTAAGTTCTACAAAGCTGTTCGGCCTTTACACCACACGCACTTCCTTATTGAATGTGTGAAAAGAGAGGGGGCTGCTGGGACTAGTAAGACTCACGCAAAGGATGGCAAAGGGGGATGTCGAAGATATAGATTTGGCAGAAAGAAAGGTGGCGGTGGCGGTGGCGGTGGTGGTGGAGGGTCCAGTCATGATGGTGGTAGACGCGGAAAGTGGAACACAATGTGCTGTTGGACATGGAAAAACTAGCCTAGGGGGCGGGAAAGAGCAGTTATGATCCTGGAAGAAGTCTTGCAAGTGACAGTACTTGGGAGGATGCTGGGACTAGTCAGACTCACGCAAAGGATGGCAAAGGGGGATGTCGAAGATATAGATTTGGCAGAAAGAAAGGTGGCGGTGGCGGTGGTGGTGGTGGTGGAGGGTCCAGTCATGATGGTGGTAGACGCGGAAAGTGGAACACAATGTGCTGTTGGACATGGAAAAACTAGCCTAGGGGGCGGGAAAGAGCAGTTATGATCCTGGAAGAAGTCTTGCAAGTGACAGTACTTGGGAG